AAATTGAAAGTGATCTACTTTTTACGACGTATTCTATGTACATGTGAGATTATTAATAATTTATTAAATTAAAATATTTTATACTAAAAAATATGGACATTTTATAATGAAAATTTCATTTAAAAAAGACATTGATTTTTTTTCTTATATTGGCAAGCCTGGCGACTACAGGTTGCCAGATCAATGGGCGACTACTATTTAGAAAAAAATGGCGTCCAAAATGGACTCCGATGTCGTGACCCCTTTAGATATACCAGCCCTGAAATCCATCAAAAAACATTTAAAATAAAAAATAACCTCAAAACCAATAATCTCCAACTGACTGATACTGCCTCGCTGCCAACTTATCAAAATGAAAATAAAACTATTAAATCCGGATATTCGATTGGTTAAGGACATGAAATACCTGAAATTAGCTGAGACAAACGTAACTTTTTGAAATTCTCTAGAATTTAAATTCCTACTTATTCAAGAATAGAACTGGCTGTTCTCAAGAGAATTTTTTTTTGAGATTCAATTCTCTGGAGAAATAATTCCTACGATTTCAAGAATTCGGTCCCTGATAGGGTTACCAAACGTCAGGATAAGTCCGGACATGTCCGGAATTTGCGCGATTTGTCCTTTTTTATGTTAAATATTTAATAGATAGTGGTTATCTTGTGTACTTGTGTTTGTTTATGCCCTTCAAGATCGACTATACGCCGAATTTTTAGAGGAAACCATTGCCATTAGCCATTCCCTTTTCATCATTTTTTTTTTTGTAAAAGATGCATAGATTGTAAGAATGTTCATCTTGAGGAGGGGAATAAATTTGCAATTTGGGAATTGGGAGTTTTATCATTTTGTCTGGATTTTTAAAGAAATGTCCGGAATTTTCATTAGGTGTGTCAGGCAGTGGCGGCTTGTGAGGTAGTGGGCAAAAATCGCGGTGTCGTAAATTTAATAAAACTATTTATGATAAAAATAATTGGTTGTGTGGTTGCGAAGAAACTAATAAACTGTTTTGTTTTGTATGTGTTTTGTTTGGAGGCGACGAAACTTGGTCAAAAAAAGCACAAACGATCTTATCCATATATGGGATAAAATGAAATCCCATGAAAAATCTAAAGTGCACATGAATAATGTTTTTAGCTTTTCCATGCTTGGTAAATTAAATATAAAAACCCAGTTAAATTTGGCTTATCGTGATGCTCTAATTAAACATAATCAACAAGTGGATGAGAATCGATATGTTTTAAATCAAATTATAAATTGTATAAGGTTTTGTGGAGCTTTAGAGTTAGCTTTAAGGGGTCACGATGAGAAAGATAATTCGGAAAATAGATGCATATTTAAGGAGCTGGGGAATTTTAGTTCCGAATTAGACAAAGTTCAAAAGCTTTCAAAGGTATCTCAAAAATAACCCATAATGAACTTCTTGAGTGCATGTTAGATGTTTATCACGAAGAAGTTAGAAAAGAAATAGAAAATTCTTCTTTTGTTGCAGTGATTGCCGATAAAACGACAGACGTTGATAGATTTTGGAGGTTTTACATGCTAGATGGACACGACGCCAAATCAATCGCTGAATGCATTTTAAATGTTTTACATCCATTATTAAAACATAGTCCAAATAAATTAATTGCTCAAAGCTATGACGACGCGTCTGTAATGAGTGAGGAATTAAATGGTGTGCAAAAAATTTTTAAACAGACATATCCTCTTGCAAATTACGTTTATTGCTATGCACACCAGATGAATTTAGTTATGACAAGTGCATGTTCTGTCAATAAGCAGGCTAGAATATTTTTTTTCTAATTTAACTGGTTTGTGCTATTTTTTTTTCCACGTCTCCTCAAAGAATAAAAATTTTGGATGAGGTACGAGGGCGGGTCAATAAGTCCGTGACTTTTTGAATTTCCCGCCTCTTAATTGAAATGGCAACAATGCTCCAGTCATCTGTCTGTTGACTCTTATCAAAAGTTGAACAAGCTGCGACATTTAGTTTGTTTTTGACAGCCGTTAATATCAGACTACCTCGTTGACTGAGAAGAAAATGGAAAAAAGTGAATTTCGTGTGCTCATAAAGCATTATTTTTTGCGGAAAAAATCCATTACGCAAACCAAGGCTAAGCTTGATAAATATTATGGGGACTCTGCACCATCTATTTCCATGGTAAAAAAGTGGTTTACTGAATTCCGATGTGGCCGTACAAGCACGGAAGATGCCGAACGTTCTGGACGCCCAGTTGAGGTCTCCACATCGGAAACAATTGAAAAAATCCACAATATGGTTTTAGCCGATCGGCGATTAAAAGTGAGAGAGATTGTGGAAGCCATAGGCATCTCACATGGCTCAGTGGTTTCAATTTTGAATGATCATTTGGGTATGAGAAAGCTTTCCGCAAGATGGGTGCCGCGATTGCTCACAATCGACCACAAACGCAACCGTGTGACAATTTCGCAGGAATGTTTGGCGTTGTTCAGTCGTAATATGAACGAGTTTTTGCGCCGTTTCGTAACCGTGGACGAAACGTGGATCCACCACAACACACCGGAGACCAACCCAGTCAAAACGGTGGGTTTCTCGGGGTGAATCGGCGCCAAAGAAGGCAAAGGTGGGTTTGTCAGCCAATAAAGTCATGACGACTGTTTTTTGGGATGCACGCGGTATTATCCACATTGACTACCTTCTAAAAGGAAAAACAATCAATGGTGAATATTACAGCAACTTATTGGGTCGATTCGATAAGGCATTGAAAAAAAAGCGACCGCATGTGGCCAAGAAAAAATTCCTTTTCCACCAGGATAATGCACGGGTGTACACATGTGCAGTTTCCATGGCAAAAATCCATGAATTGGGCTACGAATTGCTCCCTCATCCGGCCTATTCACCCGACCTAGCCCCGTGTGACTATTTCTTGTTTCCGAACTTGAAGAAATGGCTCGGCGGAAAGAGATTTGCCTCCAATGACGAAGTCATCTTACAAACAAATACCTATTTTGAAGACCTCGACAAATCATATTTTTCTGAAGGGATAAAAAAACTGGAGAAACGTTGGGCTAAGTGTATAGAGCTCAAAGGAGACTACCTTGAAAAATAAAATAACTTTTTATCTAAAAACCTGTGTTTCAATGGCGAAGTGTTCATACTGTTTATGAGAATAGAAAAGACCTCATTACAGTTGTGGACAGTATAGAAAGTACTTCACGCGATTGGTCGTCTATTAATCAAGCAAATTAAAATTTCAGGATAAAAATTTTATATTTTGGTTAAGTATTTTTCATCAAATAATGCCTTACGAGGAAATTATTTTTAACCAATTACAAAAAGTATGCAGATTCTGTTAAGGTCTAGAAAGATTTGGAGAATTTCGAAGGAGCAATTCAAGGTATACGGAAGCAAATGGACAGCATTATTGACAATATGCAAGGAGAAATAAACATATCGCAAGGATAAACTGGTGAACCAATAAGAAAAAAAGGCACGAATTGAAGAGAACAGTAGAAAACGGGATGCCGTTTTATTGCAAATAAAAAACAAGGTTCAACTTCTCTGGGCATTTGGTCGCTTCTAATTTATTTATGTCGGAGAAGTTTTCGGTCTATAGGCATCAGTTTCCCGAATCATTCCTCAATGAAACGTGTATAACATTTTCATTTTTAAACAAAAATATGCTTAAAAATGAATTACAAAAACTGTATCAGTGCTTTAGGTATGTTGTCCGCAGAAAAACATTTTGTAAATGAAATTGAAAATTTTAATAATAAAGTAATTGAAAACTTTGCTGCAACCAAAAAAGAAAGAAGAATGGACTTCATTTATCGGAAACTTTAAAACTAGTACATCAAGCAACTTTGTGCGCCAGCGAAATACTGTAAATAGGTATAGTTTTATTTTTGTGATTTTTTGGTATATGGACCTAAAGACTCTTTATGGTAATAACAAACTTCAAGGATTTTCAGCATTAATTACTGGGGGTAAGTTAATTTATAATTAAAACTTGTGTTAGAAAGCCCATAAATAGTAGTCATATAATAGATATAAAAGTATCCGTCCTTCATTTATTTTTTTAATTAAAATTTTATATCTATTTTGACAATATCGTGATAAATTTTTGCCCAAAGCCAGTTTTTTAAACGACTTTTGGGTAAAAATTTTGGCGCAGCACCCCAAAAAAATTTCACATTTGTTAAAAATTTGGCACTACCATCTCGTATTATCACGAACCGCCACTGGTGTCAGGAAATTGTATTGTTGAATATGGTAACCCTACCCCCAGGTAGATTGAGAAATGATACATACGCAAACAAATATTAATACAGTAATGAATAGACTCATAACAACAATCTCCGAATTCATGAATGAATCTATAAAAGTACGGCCGATCCCTTTGCTCCACCCCTGATCCACATACAATAAAAAATTGGCAAATATATCACTTTTATTCAACGTAGTCTCCATTATGATTAACCCATTTTTGCCACCTACGTTCAAGCATTTCTAATGTTTCTCGAGAGAAAGATTTTAAGAAAGATTTTTTTGATTTCTGCAAACCAGTAATTTATCGCACATATGACCAGTGGCGGCTCGTGACTAAAATTTTGGGAGTTCACAGTGACAGAATATAGATATCAGTACAGATGTATGAAAAAAGTTTTATTGTTTTAGAAAGTTTACAATATACCTTTCTAAAAATTTTGGTCACAAGCCGCCCCTGCATATGACAACATCATTATCTAAAGAAAATCATTCACTACGCAAACATGATGTTTCGCCTTTTATCAAAAATAACAGTAAAAAGGCTTTTTTAAATTTAATAATCTTTAAATACAAAATAATAGTATATTTCTTCAGAAAAACTTAAAATATTTTTATTAACTTTTATATTTAACAAACAAATCATTTGTTTCTTATTTTTACTTTACCTCTTGACTCTTTTATTGGCATTCGTGTCAATTATTTCTGTTACGTCTCTAAAAATATTCAGAATCTAAAAAAGAATCTGAGAAATATTTACCTTGGGTCTGCCATCTGCAGTTTTGTTGTCATCATAATTGGACGGTATTGTTGCAACACGATACGAATCTGAGCGGCCATGCTGCAAAAACAAGCCACTAACATTTACCAAATGATCGATGATCATGAAGATGAAAGGAAAGGGTCTAACTAGTTTACGAAAACTTACCAAAATCTGCTTTACAATTGGAGCAGAATATAATTAATGGAATGAGTTACACTAAATATTAATATTTTGTATATGGATTATATTTTTGTCAATCCTTATACAAAATATTCTGAGAATTCGAAATTAAAAAGTACAAATGAATTTAAAAAACATTTAATTCAAAGGTGAAGCAGAAAGTTATAGAACTGTTGTTTATTATAAATGTGTTTTCTGTTTTCATTAGTACTTTTTTAATTTCGAATAATTGTATTATTAGCCTTTTAAAAACAATCTACTGTTACAAAGTATGTTTTGTGAAGTATTTATCTGTGGTTATTCGATGTTAACTACGATTTAAATTTAAGGAGTAAAAGTAGAAATGTGTATGTTACAACATTTTGTGTGTTTACAAACTATAGTATTGTAGAGAACATCGGCAGTCAAGAGTACCGTCGGCGCTCCTCCAGACGGAACGATTTGAGTCGCCTTGAGTGTCTTGTATAATCAGCTGTGGCTGTTGGTTTATTCTCACGCATTGTGTTTTATCGGTAACTATTGGTAACCAAATAATTATTTGTGTTTAAAAATCACAGCATTTTGAATTGATAATGAAGATAAGGTATCCTATTTACAAATTTGGGGGTTGCAAGTGTCACTCGAAGCAGGTTGGAGATACGAGTAACATTTTCAAGTCGCAAGATGTCAATGTATAATCTATAATTGACGTGTTTCTTTATTTTTTATAAATGTGCACAATAATTGAACTAGACAGAAAAATATTGAATTTATTCCAACATATACGTCCTCACTATATATTTTTTTTTAATTTTAAACTCGTGTATCAAATTCACTTACTGATTATATTATGTATTTAAAGCAAACTATCACAAGGTTACGAAATTGATGCCTAATCTAGTATCGTAATGATATTGATTAAATTAAGTTTAATATTATTGATAATTTTTAAATAATTTTGAATGACTCAATGAATTGTTACTTTGTGGATGTAAACGTTTTTTTTTTAATACACAATCATAATATTTAGTCGTAACTTTTTTACAAAACGTAAATGTCACCGGTAATAGAAAAAAGGTAAAAACATTATCGAAAAGGAAATCTATTCGTACGTTTTCATCAGATATGCATGGAGAAATACCAATTACCTGCACGCAATGTTCTTGTAGAATTAAATGTTGAATAATTTTATCGATTTAACCACAGAGAAATACCGACATCATCAAAAATAAAAAAAATCTGTAAAATAAATTGAGTTGAAGTTTTTAATAAAACAACAAATTGTTTTATTTAAAGGCTGACAAAATGAAATAAATGAGGGAGAAATAATGAATTATTATCAATAAAAATAAAATTACTACTTTAATTTTAGAAAATGAAAGTATATTTCATTCCAAAGTAAACAAAAAGCAACAAATGTTTTTAACAAAACTTATTTTTAAAACTAATTGTTTTTTAATAAAATTTTTATCTGTTTAAATTTAAGAAATTGAGATCGTTAAGTCAGATCCAAATTAGAAAAACCTACCTGTAATGGAAGTGTAAAAATAAAAAGAAAACTCAAGAAAATACAATTTGTTTGAATAAATAACATTATATTAAATATACTCTAATTTTTTTTTTCTATAAGATAACAATTAATTGGTAATAAATGCTTCAACAATTAAAACAATTTATAGCAAATATTCATTAAATATCAGACAAATAACGACAAAAAAGTAGTTGCTTTTTAATTACCCTAGGTTAAATATTGTTCAAAATAAAATTTAAAAAAATCTATTTAAGAAAATAACTTATTATAAACCACAATAATTACTTGGTTAACATTTTTTTTTTTTTGTTATTTATTTTGTTCTCAAATAGATTTTCAACCTAAATGTAAAAATGGAATACACTATTTTAAAATTTAATACGATCCAAAAACTATCATGCATAATAACATGCAAGCAAAAGCTGTGCCAAAAATAACGAGTCTTCAACAGTACACGTATCCCACGTGACCAAATTGATGTATCAGCAGGTAACTAAAATATTAATTATGTCTCATAAAGTTATCGTAAAAGTGTCATAATAACGACCATTTCTTTTCAATTATGTACTGATTTTATTAGATCACTTGGGAATAAGGGTACTATTGAAGATTAAGTATGTATTAAAGTACTCATAATATATCAGATGTAATAGAAAATTTGTTTTTCTTTCGACTATAAAAAAAAATTATAGAAATTCATAAAAAAAACCTCAATGTTTTTTTTAAATGTACACATACACAAATGTAAAATATATGTTAAATAGTTACTAATGTTAAACAAAGTAGGTACTAATCAGGATTAAATATTGGGAGTTATTGTTAGACATGCAACCATTTTATTTGTGACAAATTACAATATAAATTCGTTTCGTAAATTAAGACGAGTATTTAAATATAAACCTGAAAATAATTATAATTATATTTTGCAGTAGTCAATTTGTAAACAATACTTTAAGATTTCCAACGCGGTCTTCACAAAAATAAGAAGAAACATTCATGTAATGAATTTTTTGTACATCGTTAACTAAAAGTGCTATTTTAAACACTAATACAGTGACAGCTTGTCTATAGGAGCTCATAGATTACAGCCCCCAGAACAAGGAGAAACCAATTTACACAAATATAAAATTCAAATGTATTACGTTGTCGGTCCATACTATTTTTAAAAAATAAAATATTATATTCCACTTTTATTTTATAAATTTTATAAGGCTTCTTTTGTTTCAGTTGTTCCAATCATAATCTGGCCTAGCGTTCAATATATTTTACATTACCCGTGTTCTATTCACTGACGGGCTGAAAGTCATGGAGCCCGCAATTTAGGCGTTCGAGCAAAGATGGTCACACTTGGAGGACACAGATACAGATTGTTTTCACGAAACAGCAGTCTAAACAGTAAGTTCGTTTATTATCATAGCCCAGCGTTGCCAATGCCAATTTACCGATTTTGGCTTTTTTTTTTTTCGATTTAAATCTCATCTACCGAATTTTACTGACCTTTTAACACGTTAAGCGCCACGTCTTATATGCTAATTATTCCAAAAATTTCATTTTTTAAAATTAATTAAATACTCTTATATCGGGGTAAATGTTTAATAAAACTACCCCTACGACCGACGTGGCCTGGTGGGAAATTTATTGGCGGTCTTAATGGGTCCTATGATTGAACGTTTATGTTATCCGTAACGTACATGTTAGGTCGAGTTTTAACAGTAACGAGGCAAGTTAGTTTGATGGAAAACTGTTTAATTAGAACATAACAGGCGAAAAATACCAGTAATGTGTTGGAAAAAGTTTTCCATCATACGATTTTGCCTCATTACGGTTAAAACTCGGTCTAACATATACGTTATGGATAACGTAAACGTTCAATCATAGGACCCAATTCGTCGCGATATTTTTTTTTATGTATGTTCAGCGATTTTTCTTTAACACGGTGTCCGATTTCAATGATTCTTTTTTTGTTAGAAAGGGGGTACTTCAGGGGTGGTCCCATATAAATTTAGTCAAAATCTAATAATTGGGTACATGAGAAAATCCTCAAACTCTTCACTTTTTATGTATGTTTAGCGATAATAGTTTACCACCTTGTCCGATTTATATGATTCTTTTTTTGTTAGTAAGGGGATACCTCAGGGGTGGTCCCATATAAATTTGGTTAAGGTGTGGTGATGTCATCTGCGCGTTTTTGAAGTAGGTTTTTTTAAATTTTTAATTTCTAATACTTGCCATTAGTAAATTTCATATATATTTCAAATATTAACCACTTAAAAGATGGGTATCTGTTTAGGCTATAAAACAACTCTATTTTTGAAATACGGACTGGTATTTTTAATTAGTTTTTTTTATACCTTTTGTATAGCTAAATACATATTTATGTTTTACTACGTTTCGTCTATGAACAAATCAACAACTTTGTGGCCTTTTTTCTTGAATAAAACAAGGTTAATCGTTTGCAAGTTTATTGGTAATCTTCATTGACAGTATTTCTATGATGACATATATGTCAAGTAAAAACTTTGGGAATACTTGTTTTTTGGTCAACATGAAACAACTGTCCATCGAAAACCCCGTTTTTATTATAAAAACTTATTACGAAAATGGTGAATGTTTTGCTGAAACTTGCAAGAAGATGCCTTACGCATTTTGGAAGAAATTTAGCGCAATTTGTTAAAGTTATTGAGAGTTTTATGAAGAGATTTCAACAGCAGAATATGAGGTGATGAAAATTCAAGAGAAATATTGGAAAATGTGACTGTGTGGTGTGGTTTTTGGTCTAGTGGCGTTATTGGTCCTTATTTTTTCCAGAATGAAGCTGGTGATGCCATAACTGTGAATGGAGCGCGATACAGGACATTGATTACGAGATTATTTGTAGAACGAATTAGAAGATATGGATGTCCAGAACATGTGTTTCCAGCAAGACGGCGCCACTTGCAACACATCGGATAAAACACTAAATCTTTTATTTCTCGAAGAACTGAGGTTAATTGTCCGCCTAGATCGTGCGACCTTATACCAAATTGGATTATTTCTTGTGGGGCCTTTTAAAGGTAAAAGTTTATGCTAATAATCCTCAAACACCTGAACAACTTCGAGTTAATTAATATTATTCAAAAAATTGAAGAAGTAGAACAGAATGTTTGCGAAAATGTTCTTGAAGATTTTGTAAAAAGAATGTTAGCATGCTAAAGAAGCAGAGGGGTCACATGCCGGATATCATATTTTATTATTAACTGTAACATTTAAACTTTAAAATAATACAATAATGTTATATCATTTCAAGGACTTTCTATGTTTTATTATTAAATTAAATCCGAAGGTTAAATTTGGACACCCTTTACATAATGGTTTAGAACTCGGTTTAGAATTATATTTTGACGTTTGA